AGTTGTTGTGCTCAAATCCTTTGGATGAAGCAACAACTCGTGGACTATGGCCTTAGTATCAATCACGTCCCTCTTCGTTGTGATAATACTAGCGCCATAAGCTTGACGAAGAACCCCGTTCTTCACTCAAGGACGAAACACATTGACATTAGGCATCATTTCATTAGAGATCATGTTCTCAAAGGTGATGTCGAAATTGAGTTTGTTGAAACACACAACCAATTAGCCGACATTTTCACAAAACCTTTAGAGAAAGAGTCGTTCTTCCGCATTCGAAGTGAACTCGGAATCCTTGACTCCACGATGATCTAAGTTGTGAATCTAAATTTATTAAACATTTACTAACTTGAGCGTCGGAGAACTTTTTCTTTTTTGCAGGTACCCCGTTCATGAAATCAGGGGGAACCATGCAAACAGCGCTGTCCAGGAGACACAACAGCACTGTTGAGGGAAACACCGCCAACCAGAAAGTTTTCCAACAGCGCTGTCCATCAAGCCAACAGCGCTGTCCCAGGGAGTCCCTTACATCTTCACTTTCCAGAAACTTTTTGAACATCGATGTTCTCTTTTAAACATCGTTGTCTTCCCAAAACTTTTTGTTTTCAACCAAAACCAGAAACTTTTTAAACAGCGATGTCTTACCTACAACATCGATGTCCACTTTTACAAATTTTTTCCTCTATCGCAAAACAGCGATGTAGAAAAACCCAACAGCGCTATTCAAATGGGTTCAAACCCTTACACAATTCCAGAAACTTTTGGAACATCGCTGTAGGGTACTCAACATCGCTGTCCTTTTGACTCCTGTTTTTTTTTAAACTTGACGCAGAACAGCGCTGTACAAGGAACAACAGCGCTGTCCCAACAGCGATGTCGCCTGTAGAACATCGCTGTTCTGGTCAAAATTTTCAAAAAAAAATATCCGTTGCACCTTCATTTATTGCTCCAACAGTCATATTTTTTGAAATTTTGGACGTTGGGGGCCTCCTTTTCTATAAATTGGAGCCTCCACTCCTAATTTTTACACACACAAACACAAATTCTCTCCATTCCTCTTGCATATCTCACTCTACTTACAATTTTTTTTCTTCCTCTTCATCATGGGCAAGGACAAGAGCAGGGCCGCCACCTCCGGGAAATCAAAGTCCAAATCCCGGGCGCCTACGTCATCATCCGAGGAGCGTCTCTACTACGGTGACGGGTCATACCTTTGGTTTGATTCCGAGGAGGAGCGCACCCGTTTTCTCACCTTCTTCTCCAAACGGGTTGTGGCCCCCCTACGAATCATCCCGGAGCGTTACCCAGAGTTGCAGGGCTACGAAGACCTCGACGCGCAGCTTCATCAAGACGGTCTTTGGCCGTTTGTCTCCCGGGCACGAAAGGAGATCAACCCGGCGCTGATCCGGGCCTTCTACTCCAACCTCCGGCGTGAGGACGACGTGCTCTACTCGCTCGTCAAGAGCACGCCGATCGAGCTCACCGTGGAGCAGCTTGGGCGCATCGCCAGCCTCCCCTTCCAAGGCGACGATGTGTCTCACTATGGTGGAGAGGATTGGGTGCTCAACAACGAGGGCCTTATCCTCAACGAGCTTGGCATCACCGAACTCAAACGCCATGGCTCGGGCCGCCCAACCATCCACTCCGCCAAGCCCGAAGGCCGCCTCGTCCTCTACATCGTCTCCCGGATCATCAAACCGAGGAAGCACGGCCACACCATCATGCACGGTGAAGACCTCAAGCTCATCCATGCGATCATGCATTCGGCCCCAATCAATTGGGCAAAGTTTGTCATGATCAACATGACGATTGCAGCGTCCACCGAGCACGACCACCTCCTCCCCTACCCGTTTTTGGTGATGGACATCCTTGAACGGTTCAAGGTAACCACCACCGTTGGCCCGCTCACGAAGGCCACGAAGATTTGGACAAT